GCTCAGGCAATCCACTCACCTCAGCCTCCCAAAGGCGCAGGATTACAGGCTGAGCCACCAAGCCTGGCAATCTCAGGTTCTTAGTTTCAGCAAATGTACCCTGGTCATGGAAGATGTTAACAACAGGAAAACTAGATTGGGAGTATACAAAACTGTGCACTATCTTTATAACTTTTATGTGTAAAAATTATTCCAAAATAGAATATTTACTTAAAAAACAAAAATATTTAGCTTTAAAATAGAATCATTAATGCAACTAAACCAACATAGATATCCTTTTGGAAAATGTTAACCTACTAAATTTAACTGCCATTTGCTCCATTTTAAAAGTCCGTTAATACTCTAGACTCCCTTCAGGTTGTATAAATCTTTTGCCTTTTTAAAAGTATGTTAAATTGAATTCAAGAAAAAAGCAAAGCTGGGAAAAAGAACACTAATAATTTCTTACTGGAGATTAAATCATGTATCAGAAACATTATGTACTGTATATTAATAGTCCTAGAACTATGCATATTAAATAAGGAATATTTGACTACCATTATTAGAAACATAACACTCTAAAAAATACAAAACAGAATATTCCACAATTTAATATTCTGTTAAGTTTCACTGTACACTGTGTTCTGGAGTTCACTGCAATTTACAGTGAAAGAGGCCTATTTAATACACTAGTGGTATTATAATAGACAAACAAACATCTGATAAATTTACACCTTTCACATACCATGACACTTCTGAGGGAGAAGACATCCTGTTGCTAACATCCTAGATAAAATAAATGAATACTGAAAGGCTGTTAAGAAAGGTTATTTAAAGCCTGGATATAGGACTAAAAGGTAGATGGTATTAAAAAGGTGACGCCCTTTCAAGGTAAAATGAGAACACAGACCCATTCAATGGTTAATTACTTAGGGGAATGTATTTGCTCATTATTCTATTTACTATTGAACTAACTATCCCAGATTAAGTGAAGTTACATGTTAGTTTATAGATTTTTGTCGAGTAGAGTTGCAAGTAAGTTCTGCTAGATAGATTTATTGGACTGTAGGACATTAACCAATTTGTAACTAATCTAACAATCTTATTCCACCAATTACTAAATTGTCTATGAATACAGAGTTCCTTAGATGCTCTTTGAAATAGTCTTAATTAATGAATTGAATACAACTTTGATATATATTCACTTTATATTTGTTTGAGTCATATTTTTAATTTTTTTAAATTATAAGTTGTCTGGCATAAGAATTTTCCCTGACATGGCCTTTCCTACATTCAGCTCTGCCAATCCTACAAGCTCACAGTGTTATCACGATGATAGCTTTTCTGCATAGTATTCTGACAATATTGTCAGTTACTTGGTTATTGGAACTACCAAATAACATCTTTTTGTCTCAAATAAATCAGAAAAGATTAAGTGTATGTTACTTTCCAGACCATCTTTACTCCACCACTAACTTTTCATCCTGCTAGGATTTGTGTGTATACAAATCTGTGCATTTTAAAAACAATGGGAGATACATAAAGATTCCCTGAGATTTCAAGTCTCGGTTCCTATATGAGAAAATAAAGATATATAAAGGAAGCTCAGTACTTACTGGGTCATCATTAAGAAGCTACCCAAAGAATCACAGAACGTAAGATTTAGACAGGACTTTAAATATCTTCTTTCCAGGGGTCAGGCTTGGTGGCTCAACCTGTAATCCCAGCACTTTGGGAGGCTGAGGTGAGAGGATTTCCTGAGTCCACAGGTTCTCGACCAGCCTGGGCAACTTGCGAGACCTCATTTTTTGGACAATAAATCAAAAAATTGGCCGGGCATGGTGGTGCGTGCCTGTAGTTCCAGCTACTTGGAAGGTTGAGGCAGAAGGATCACCTGAGCCCAGCAGGTTGAGGCTGCGAAGGCCGTGAGCATGCCACTGTACTCCAGCCTGGGCCACACAGTGAGACACCAACCCAAAAAACAAAAAAACAAAAACAAAAAAACCCCAAAAGTCTAGCTAGTGTGACTTTTTAAAGTAAGAAACTTAGATGCTTTCAAATTGTCATTTTAAATGTACTTCTGGTAAGTTCAAGTGAACTGATGGTAAAGACTAATTCCAATGATTAGGTTTAAGCATGGGAAGGGAAGCACTATGCCACTCCTACCCAAACCATAATTCATTAAAAGCAAAAGAGAAAAGAAAATTCTGTACCCTGACATCACTTCTAGATGAAGTTGTCCTGAGACAGTTAAGAAAGCAGGAACATTGAAGAAATTCTCCTCAGGTACTTTTATTTTGCTTGAAGGCTGCAAATAAAAAACATAAGCCACAAAAAGCTATTACATGTTTGCTCTGCTTTTTACATTCATATTATGTGCCACAACTAAAAATCACAATGCAATTAAACCAATATGAGAACAAGTCATTCTCATTAAAATAAAGGCAGCTATTAGCACACACTTAAAGGAGAAAAAGCCTGGTTGAAAAATGTTAAAGACAAGGAAGGCTGTCCATATTTTCAAAACATACAACAACCAAAGGACAAAGTACTTTTTTCACAAAATACACTTCTCCCTAAAAAGTGATTTCAATTAAGAGACAAGCTGTGCAAGAGATTATGAATTAAACATTTTAAGTGTGAAGAATGACATAATCTCTTAAAATGCTGATTTATGTTTGAGACTTAATTTTCTCAAGAGAACAGTTTTTGGAACATGTGTTGTGATATTATTATTAAAATATTAATAATAATGTTTTAAATACAGATTATTATAAACACATTCTAAACTTTGAAATACATTTTATTTAATTTTCACTGTAACTCAGGGGCAGGAAGAGAAGGACCCTATCTTCAAAAGATATACCAAGCAATTAAACTTTTATGAACATACAACATAGACAGGGAGATTATTACATTTGAAATGGGTAGGAAACAAGTCAGCCAACCATTTATAAGAGCTGAGCTAAAAAATGACTTGGAGGTCAAATACAATTAAAACAGTGCAATTAAGAAAGCTTCCAGGCCGAATGTGGAGGCTCAAGCCTGTAATTTCAGCACTTTGGGAGGTCGAGGCGAGTGGATTGCCTGAGCTCATGGGTTCAAGACCAGCCTGGGTAACTTGGTAAGACCTTGTCTCTACAATAAATCAAAAATAAGCTGGGTGCGGTAGTTCACGCCTGTAGTTCCAGCTACTTGGAAGGCTGACATGGAAGGATCGCCTGAGCCCACCAGGTCGAGGCTGCAGTGGCCATGAGCCTGTCACCTCCAGTCTGGGTGACAAAGTGAGACTCTAACTAAAAAAAAAAAAAAAAAAGAAAGAAAGAAAAAGAAAGCTTCCAAATCAGCTTATGACTATCATACCCACTTTTTTGGAAGGAAGCTAATCTTATATTTTAACTATGCGTTTGTTTGAAAATGTTTTAGTGTAAGGGTACAGTTACTACAAAAGCAATAAAGTTTATTATACATATGTAATAGAAGATGTAAGACTCCTTTAACAGACTTAGTACCTCATACTGAATTATGGAAACACATGAAATGAAGGTAACTTATTTCACTAGTTGTTCAAAAATATTACATATCATATATATATATATATAGCATATCGTGTATAGGTGTGTGTCTAGGAATAAAAATGTATTCAAAAAAATTACCAAGCGAATTTTTTTTTTTTTGGTTATAATTGCCTACTTTTTTTTTTCAAACTTACTTTGATATTGGTCTTAGAGGTTCTGTAAACACTTTTTTAGGAGTATGGCCAGGCGTGGTGGCTCATTGCCTAAAATCCCAGCACTTTGGGAAGCCCAGGTGAGAGGACTGCTTGAGCTCAGGGTACCAAGACTAGCCTGAGCAACCTGGTGAGTCCTTGTCTCTATAAAAAATAAAAAAATTAGCCAGGCATGGTGATGCGTGCCTGTAGTTCCAGCTACTTGGAAGGCTGAAGTGAAAGGATAGCCTGAGCCCAGCAGGTCAAGGCTGCAATGGCTGTGAGCATGCCACTGTACTCCTGCCTGGGTGATAGAGTGAGACTCCAACTCAAAAAATAAACAAGCAAATAATTGACAGAGACCCTGACTCAATGAATAAATAAACAAACAAAACACCTGTCTTTAAATCCCATTACTAATGAAAGATATTGTTTCCAAGAACTTAAGTACTCAAGATGAAATACCTGACCTGATCTGTGTTAGAATTTTAAAATAAAAGAGAGGTTCTCTGATATTTCTTCACTAATTATTTAACGAATAATTGCTTTCCAAAAAAGGTCCAGCAAATTTATAAGATTATCATCCTTCTTTCCTTTACATCTTTAGTCTGTAATTTGTATTGATGTCCCAACTAGCAAATTACATTTGTATCCTAATTTCACTTAGTGATTTCTCTTATTTCTTGTGCATATAAAAAACTGATCTTTATTACCAGATTTTAGTCCTTCATTTATCAACTCTTATACAAAATGAATCCTGATCTTCTTATACATCCTAAATCCAACTTATTTAAATGAGCACAAGCATACTGCTACTTCATTATGCCTTCCAATGTCATATATGAGCATTCACATGCTGAAATTCATACTATTTTATTATAAATTACTTCATTTTATTTCTTTTTTATATCACAATTAAAGCATTATATTGATCTTTTAAAACTGTGTGTGTGTATTACTTGCCTATAAATTCTATTTCAGAATATTAAAAGGGCATTATAAAATATTTGCTTTAAAAAGTAACTATGGAAAGTAACGTCAGCAAAAATGGTGGGGCAGGTAGCTCCAAAGGCTTGTCCTACCACTAAAAAAATCTAAAAAAACAAAAACTGTCAGAATCAGCTAAAGGAACTCTGAAAAATAAAGGTTTATAGTAATTAAGCAAATGAAAAATTTTTTAAAAGGCAAATAAAAAATGGTAGATTTCACCCAACAACAGCAGAATGCATATTTTTCCAAGTGCATATGTGCCATTATCCAGAATAGACCACCTTCTAGGCCATAAAACAAGCCTTAATAAACTTTAAAAGACTGTAATCACACAAAGTATCTTCTTTGATGACAATGGAATTAAACTAGAAATGTACAATAATGGTGTGTTTACTAAGGAAGACAGTTCAGTTTGGTGGTTCCTTAAAAAGTTAAGCTAAGCCGAGCTCGGTGGCTCAGTCTGTAATCCTGCGCCTTTGGGAGGCTGAGGTGAGTGGATTGCCTGAGCCTGTGGGTTCGAGACCCGCCTGGGCAGCAAGACTTCATCTCTACAATAAATCAAAAAAATCAGCCAGGCATAGTAGCTTGTAATTCCGGCTACTCGGAAGGCTGAGGCGGAAGAATCGCCGGAGCCCAGCAGGTCGAGGCTGTGGTGGCCAGAGCGGCCACTTCACTCCAGTTGGGGCGACAGAGTGAGACTCCAACTCAAAAAAAAAAAAAAAAAAAAAAAAGTTAAGCTAGAATTACTACATGACATAGGTATATGCAAAAAAAAAATTTAAATGAGGTATACAAACAAATGCCTGTACAGGACTGTACAAACAGTATTATTAATAACAGTCAAAAGGTGGAAACAACCTAAATGTCCATCAATAGGAAAATGAATTTAAAAAATGTGATATATACATACTGTAAAATATTATCCTATCATAAGAAGAAAAAATATATGTATATACCTTAAATATTGTTTAAGTTAAATATCTGTACTTGCATATGCTAAAACATGGATGAACATTTAAACTTTTGCATTTGGGGACATCTCATGGATCAACTTCCAGCAACTCAACTGCACTTTTTACAAAATAGTGAAAGATAAATCACTTCATATTAAATAGCATAATGTTGGGACCAATTATTTTACTATAACACTGCTTGGCTTATAATGGAATTTTGGACACCAAGGAACTTATTTATGACAAAAAAACCAAAATTTTACATCTTATATTTTTTGAACATGCAGTAACATGTGAAAACAGACACTGACATGCATTGCAGGTTCATTGATACATGTTGTGCAATAGTAATTTCTTTGATGTCTTCTACCTGGTATTTCTCTATTTGAGTAGACAATGTAATCTCATTTTTTTCCTCCACATTAATAATATGTAATTTATTTTCCAGTCTGTTGTTTGAAGATGATATGGAAGGATGCACTTGTGATTCCTGAAAACCACTTCTCAACTCATCGATCAGAAGAAGCTTGAGAGATTTCAAATGGGACATAGGTTTTTCATCTTTTTTTTTTTTTTGATGCTCAGTACAGCACATAGGAGTTAATAACACATCTTTCTAGTCCCCAAAAGAATAATTTCCTCCACCATTTTAAATATTTTCTCAAAAAACAATATGTACAAGTATATTGATCTGGACAATCCATTCCACTCATATTTGTAATAGAACTTAGAATAATAATCATTTCAGGCTTTTTGACTGATATAATGTTTCTACCACATATGTCCTTGTGGTAGATTTCATTCCTGCATTATTCCAAGTGCTCAGAATTGCAATGATGCCTTTGTCCTTCCACTTAAGAAGCGTAAGATTATTTTTCCTATAAGTTTTTTTTTGTGTGTGAAAACTGGCATTTTTATTTATACTGGTATTCCCTTTTGGAATACCAAAATACTTTGTATTAGTAAGATGATGTTTTATCTTTAGTAGCTCTTCTGCTAGGATAATACTAGTGTAATATTCAACAGTAAACATGTGGTATCTTGCTGCATTGGGAACTTTTTAAAATAATTTTTTATATAAATGTAATGGAATTCCGATGCTTACTGGGAGATCAGGTTGAATGATGTTTTTAGATGTTATGTTGCCATAGTAGGGAAGCACTGAAAAAAGATAACCTGTTTTTAAATTGGCTAGCACATAAATGCATATATCCCATTTGGTAGGCTTATTTGGGTGGTGTGTTATAAACGATATTCGGTGGCTCAGCCTGTAATCCCGCGCCTTTGGGAGGCTGAGGTGAGTGGATTGCCTGAGCCCGTGAGTTCGAGACCTGCCTGGGCAGGTGAGACCTCATCTCTACAATAAAATAAAAAAATTAGCCGGGTGTGGTAGCGTGCACCTGTAATTCCGGCTACTAGGAAGGCTGAGGCGGAAGGATCGCTGGAGCTCAGCAGGTCGAGGCTGCGGTGGCCGGGAGCGGCCACTGCACTCCAGTCTGGGCGACCGAGTGAGACTCCAACTCAAAAAAAAAATAAATGACATTCGTCCTTTAAACTGAACAATAAATTCATCAATATAAATTGCCAGATGTATGGAATATTGTGAAAATTTTGAATCAATGCATTCCAAATAATTACTGGCCCTGAACATGAATT